CAATGACGTGCACTGGAATTCCCATTCTTTGCAATAAAGCACAAGTAACCATTTTTTTCTGGCATTCTTTACTTTTTCAGCCAAGTTCCATCTGATGTCAGCAAAGCCATCTCTGGTCCCACATTCTCATCTGAAACCAGCTTGAGTTTCTGGCAGCTCCCGGTTGAAGTACTGCTGTAATCATTTTTGAATCCTCAGCAAGATCTTACTTGTGTATGATATTAATGATGTTGTTACATAATTTCTACGTTTTATTGGGTCACCTTTCTTTAGAATGGTTCTTCCTGTTGGTTGGCCAGGTAGCTGTCTTCTAGATTTCTTGGCACAGATGAGTGAGTTCTGCATCAGTTTGCTGGAAAATTTCAACTGGTATTCCATCATTTTCTGGAGCTCTGCTCTCCACTAATGCCGTCAGTGCACCTTGGACTTCTCTTTCAATACCATCAATTCTTGATGTGTGCTACTTCCGGAAGTGGTTGAACATCGGCCATTTTTATTTTTTTGTACAGTGACTGTGTATTCATTCCATTTTCTTTGGATGGTTCCTACATTATTCAATATTTTCCCCATAGAATCTTTCAACATATCAAGTTGGGGCTTGCATTTTTTTCTTCAGTGTCTTCAGCTTGAGAGAGGCTGTTTTGAATGTACACGTCATATCATCTTCTTGAGCTGTCCTTTGAAATTTTCTCTTCAGTTCTTTTAATCATTTCTTCCATTCATTTTAGTAATTCTACGTTCGAGAGCAATTTTCAGAGTCTCTTTTGACATTCACTTTGATCTTTCCTGTCTTTTTAATGACTATTTGCTTTCTTCATGTGTGATAGTCTTGAGGCCATTCCATAACTCTTTTGGTGTTTGGCATTTAGTACTCAATGCGTCAAATCTGTTCTTGGTATGTTCTCTAAATTCAGGAGGGACATACTCAAGGTCATATTCTGAGCTCTTGTGGACTTGTTTTAATTTTCTTCAGCTTTAACCTGAACTCGCATATGAGCAACTGATGGTTTGCTCCACCATTGGCACAATTCTTGTCTCAGGTGGTGACACTGAGCTGCTTCATTGTCTCTTCCCACAGATGTAGTCAATTTGGTTCATGTGTATTCCATCTCACAAAAATTCATATGTATTGTTGCTGTTGTTAAGTGCTATCTAGTTGGTTCTGACTCATAGTGATCCTGTACAGGATTTCTGAGTCTGGTAGCGTAGTGGTTACAAATCGGGCTGTGAACCACAAGGTCAGCAGTTCAAGCTCCCCTGCCACTCTTCAGAAACCCTATACAGGGTCGCTATGGGTCGGATCTGACTCAACCGCACTTAACAACAACAACAAACATTTGCAGGAAGAGAAAGCCTCATCTTTCTCCCAGGGAGTGGCTGGTGGGCTCGAACTGCAGACCTTGTGGTTCACAGTCCAGGGCTTATGATATAGAGCCACTGCTCTTTCCATTTGTTGTTGTTGTTGTTAGGTGCCATCGAGTCGGTATCGACTCATAGCGACCTTATACACAGCAGAACGAAACACTGCCCGATCCTGGGCCAACCTCACCACTGTTGCCACAGTTGAGTCCATCGATGCTACCACTTGGCCAATCCATCTTGTTGGGGATCTTCCTCTTTTTCTCTGACCCTCCACCTTACCAAACACGATATCCTTCTCCAGTGACTGGTCCCTCCTGACAATATGTCCGAAGTATGAGAGACGAAGTTTGGCCATTATGGCCTCCCAGGAGCACTCTGGCTGCACTTCTTCCAAAACGGATCTATTGGTTCTTTTGGCAGCCCATGGCTTTCCCCACAGTTGCTGTTTATGTTATTGAAAAAGGGCATTTGCAATAAGTTGTCCATCTTGCAAAATTCTATCATGCAATCTCCAGCATTATTTCTATCACCACGGCCATATCTTCCAACTACTGACTCTTTCTCTTTATTTCCAACTTTGGCATTCAAATCATCAGTAATTATCAATGAATCTTAACTGCATGTTTGATCAATTTCAGACTGAAGGAGTTAGTAGAATTCTTCAATTTCTTTATCATTGTTTTTGGTGGTTGGTGTGTAAATTTGGTTAATAGTTGTATTAACTAGTTTTCCTTGTAGGTGTAGAGATTTTATCCTATCACAGACGGCATTATGCTTCAAGACAGATCTTGAAGTATTCTTTTTGACGATAAATGTGATACCATTCCTCTTGAATGCATCATTTTGAGCATAGTAAATCATATGACTGTCTGATTCAAAAGGGATAGATATTGCTATCCATTTCAGCCTAGGATATAGGTTGTTATGTGTTTCATTATATTTTTTGACAGCTTCCAGTTTCCTTTGATTCATACATACTCTGTGCATTTCACGTTATGATTATAGAAGGATGTTTGAAGTTGTTTTTTCTCATTTTGAGCTGTGCTCCTTCAGTAAATTAAGGTTTACCCACATCATTAAAGTTGATTCTACTTTGAAGAGCTAGCTCTTTCTCAGCCATATTTTAAGTGCCTTCCAATTTGAGGGGCTCCAAAACCCAGTCCCTCAGAAGTGTACTTCATCTGCTTAGTCTGAAAGTTCTGCTGAAACCTGTTCCCTGTGGGTATTTGACACACCTGTGGCAGACCTTCCAGTACCACAACAACACACAAGTCACCACAGTACAACAAATTCACAGATGTGCTGGGAGAAAAGCTACATGGCTAATAGCTACCAAAAGGTATTTAACCAAATTCTTCTGCAACCATTCCTAGCAAAAACTCGGAGCAAAAGGGAATACATAGAAAGTACGTAACAGACAATAGGCAATCGTCCAGTTACAGCAAATGCACACAAACTGCTGATATCAAACCCTGAAAACCAGGAACAAGGGGTCCACTTACTATTTTTACAGTGATTTTTTGAAATGAGTGATACGCAGTAAGAGAGATATGAAATAAAGTACTTTATGGTGTTATAGAATGACTGGAAAAGAAGAAACAAACTTATTCTGAATTTGCAAATGATTGATTTGAGCATATACCTGGCGGACTCACATAACACTACTAGAAACTATTAGAATTTATAAGAGAAACCAAACAGGGGACTAGATAAAGCATAAATTTGTGTGTGGTTTTTTTTTTTTTT